GAAGAATAGCCAAGAAAAAAAAATAAAAAGGGGGGGTGGGGTGAAGAGGTTATTTAGAAAGGAATTGTTAGAGTTGACACCGCATTAGGTGTTCTCTTGCACGTTAATCGTATGCCCAAAGACTTGAAACTTTTAAAAATCGAAACAAAGAGATGTCGTGGCGAGGCTTAAGGTAGTACATTATGATAAGCAGGAAACTCGATGTATGCATGTTAAGCAATGCAGTGCGTCCTAAAAATCGAAACATCATCATTGGAAGGTTGGTTGAATATCCGGCTGAATGGAGGGACAGAATGATGCATGTTCTCATCGGGCTCAGGTGCGACCCCCTCTGCTCTGCGAATTACTTCCTTGAGAGCACGGGTTACAACACCGGCTCGGACAACGAGGTCACGAAGGGATTGTGTATCGAAGGGGAGTTTCTTTGATCTCGGTGATTGACGATCCATGAAGGATGAACCGCGAGATGTTCGTTGTTGGTAGATCAAATCTAGCACAGAATTTGCCTTGGCAGGGGGTTCCGTGTGATCAGAATCGGCAGTGGTTTGGTTTGAACTTAATGGTTCTGAGAATGAAGCTCTCGATGACTCTTCACTGGCTCGTTTAAAGGGATCGTTCGTGTTGGCTGATTCTTCCTCAGAATCGTCGAAACTGAAGGTGAGAGAGGACGGGGAGCCCGGGGGGGAATGACTATGTTCTTCGTCATCAAGGGTAGCCAAGTTTACAATGCCCTCTGCTTCTTTCCACAGCTCATTAGATGGTCCACGCACAATGTCCAAGAAACTAGCTTGGTGGCGAAGGCGTCTGAGCTCTTCAACTAGCAGGGTCAGCTCTTGGACTTGTCCAAACTGTCCATGGAGACTGGCTTGACGTTCCATGATAGCCTGGGGAACTATCATGCTGCGCCGGGCAACGTTCTTGCTCGTCCGCATGCTCTCGCTGACTGTACTTTCGTCCGCATCCTCAAAGTCGAAGTCGCTATCCCAGTCTTCACTAACACCCTTGCTGCCCAACCCCCAAGTGCCAAACTTGCCTGATGTTTGTCGAGTCTCGTTGCTAGCTGGATAGTCTCTCGATACCGGGACGCTTTGGCTCCGAAGATGTAAAGTATTTGGTGCTTTGCGGCCCGGAGCTCGACTACCTCGAAGCTCAGGTCCATGTTTTCCGTGGACAGTGCGCGGGCGTCCATCGGTCCCAGAAACTTCGCGGTCATTTTTGGGTTGTTCAGACCAGTCGAAAATATTCATCCTGGGGCACATTTCAAGCATCTCATTGGTAACGCTGCGCGAATTGGACTTAGTTAAATCGAGAGGAATATCTGACCTGCCATGAGCGAACAAGATATCACGGCCAGTATAATTCCTCTCGTAATTATTCAAAGACATTCTCGGATATTTCGACCGTTCGTCCAGCTTGACTATTTCCCCAGGTAACGCAGCTACTAGGCTGTGGGCGTCTTCATCATCTGTTAAATCGGATGGGAATGATATTCTACTCTCCTCGTCATGTAAAAACTTTTCTTGGAGGCCAGGGAGAGAGTCCGGAACGGGTGTTAGCATCAGGTTGGAACGATTGTGACTGTCGTCAAACGGCTGAGAAGAGAAAGTGTAATGCGAGGCGAGTTGCTTGCCATGTAAGGATCCTTCGCCCGCATTGCTGAGGGGTAGATCTCTATCAAAAATGGTCTCCACCCGAGGAGCATGCAGACCTGAATTGCTGCTAGTGGTCATATGTGTGCGGATCGAATCGAAAGCGGTGTCGCTCAAGAAATCGGTCTCGTCCTCCTCACCTGAAGTGAAAATACGAGTATCATCAGAGCCAATAACAGTTGAGGCAGGGTCAGATGCGGCAATTGAATGTCGTTTAGGTCGCTGACGGATTGGGCCCTGCAAGACGGACAAGGCCACACCGTCTGAAGTAAGTGGACGTTGCCCGGTCTCTCGCAGATAACCAATATCGATGCGAGAGGATGAGGCGGCCTTTTTGGAGCCGGAACCCATGAACCCAGGCACTGTAAAGCCATCCGCCCGCGAGACAATTGGGGGCCGGCGGAAGATGTTCGGGTCTGTAATGTTGCGCCTTGCACGCGATCGTGGCGGCAGCAAAATAGCTCCTTCCGATTTTGCAAAAGTAGGAAGAGGGGCTGAGATTGCTCTCATTTTAGGACGGGCAAGTGCAGTACTGAGGGGTTTGTGGACATCGGCATTGTCTGGGGCTGGTATTGCTGACTTGGAGTCATTTGAAACTGATATCGATGGCTGGCGATTATTTTCCTCTAGTGCAAGGGATGTTTCTAACTCTCGTGAAGTATCACTTGGCTTGAACGGATCACGGAACTGCACTGGAGAGGTAGGTGCGGTCTCCAGCGAACTAACCCCTACCGAAATCTCCTTGTTTGTGATTGAATTTGCTAGAAGAAGAGCTGGTATAGTATCCGTAGACGGGAGAATTCGCCGCAGTCCATGCTCTTTTGGCTTGGTTGCGGTTGACAGCCTGCGTGCCACCCTGTCCGGTATCCCATCGTAGGTAGCAGTTAAATAGGGCTGCCAAGCTATATCAACCACAGAGGATTCTCTGTTAGTAGGAAGCAATGGTGTGTTCGTAAGAAGGCTGGGTTCGAAGTTCAAACTATGTGTTGCTTTGTGTCTCAGGTGTTCGGATCGTTGATGGCTTGTGGCTGGTCTACGAAATAATGTTATTGAAGGGGGCGAAGGCGCGTGCGCCAATTGAAAATGAGCGCTTGAAGGTTGTGATGGAGGCCGCTTGACGAGTTTGTTGGGTGCTCGGCGCTGACTGGAGGGGCGCGAATGAGTAGGGCTTGTGGGTCCGTTCGACGTCGGGGAGGTAGGACTTTGGCATGAGCTCCGGTTTCCTGGCTGAAACGACAGCCGTCGCACCCAAGAGGATGACGGTCTTCGCGTATGCAAAGCCGTTGAATCTTCCTCGACCCGCAGTGGAGGGTTTGATAGAGTCTGACCACGACGCCGCAGTATAATCCCTGCAAGGGATGATTTTCTCCTGTGGTTTGGACACTGGGAGTGGTTCCCAGCGTTAGAATCGCCCCCACTCGCATGGAAAGTCTTGAACTGCGAGGTACATTTTCTTTCTGCTGCCGTGGATGGGGTGGAAGGGCCTGCCTGTACGTCGTCGTCTAGCGGCGATCGAGGGTCTGTTGCGCGCGCGCGCTGATCATGCAGAGGGAAGGTCTTTTTTCGGAAGCGCGCCGGCTTGGGTGAATCTCGATCTACGCGACCGAGAGCAAAGCCAGTTGCTGCAATACCAACAGTGCTGATTGCACAAAGCTGGGTGATAATATATTAGCCAAGAACGTTCATAAAACATACAAAGGCCATGAGGGGTTATTGGTGCAACTGCTTCGCAAGAAAGAAAACTGTTCATAAGATGGTAGAGTGTTCAACGGAGAGAAAGAAGAATAAAATATAAAGGAGAGACCTCACAGTTGATACATGCTCCATCCTTAAAGGCGCCGAGAATAGTGTCAAGCACCATGAAGCTCAAAGTGGCAACATCGATATTACATGTAGTTGACGTCCCATCTGCATTATTATGCACGAGGATCCGCTGGCTTAGCACGTCTAGATTGGGAGCATCTCAGAAAAATCGAGGTGGTTTGAAAATTTTAGTCGGACGTTGTAGATAGGATATTATCACCGGGTACGGTTGGAGGCTCTTTTGGATGTCAAGCACAGTAAAGTCGATGTGCCTTTAGAGTGAGGGGAACGGCGCGTGGCTGTTGGGAGAACGGAATGCGAGGAGACCAAGAAAGAATATAGTAAAGGAATGGGGAGTACGAGAACATCAGAGCTGTGGTCAAGTCTCTAGTTAAGCAAAGAAAAAGAAAAAGAAAAAGAAAAAGAAAAAGGAAAAAAAGGGAAAAAAAAATTACTATCCAAAGGCTGCTAGAAAGAGGAAGAAAGTAGATGAGAAACAGCAGCAAAGGAATAATAATAATAATAAAATAAAAACAACAATAACAAGAGGCTAATGATCAACAAAGGCCTGAGGAGTGGGACACAGTCTCTCTCTTTCCCACCCACGGGCGATGTTCTTCTGGTTCTAGTTTAAAGGAATGGAGCACGCTAGGAGAGTGTCCACCCCCAGCACAACACCCACACCACCCGGCAAGGTAAATTTATTCAATATATCACCATAGTGAGAAATATAAATGAAGGGAGAAGAGATATTTTCGCTTTACAAGAATAACGATAGTTAGATGCACTATTCAACTTTATGGCCTTTGGTTCTATGAAGAAGGGGGCAAAAAGAAAAAAAAAGAAAAAAAAGAAAAAAAAGAAAAAAAGTAAAAAAAAGGCACCAGACGGGATATGAATCTCTAAAGCCTGGTGTAGGTATCAAGATGTAATTTTCTTTTCTGTTCTCTTTCTCCCTCATGCCAGAAACAAGAACTTATCAAAGCCTCAAAAGCCAGCTGTCAGTCTGGCAGATTGATTATAGATATGAACACGAATGTCAAGTCAAATCGTAGTATGCTGTAATCATCATATACCAAATAATACTTGTCCGCCTCTCCCCCTTTATGAAAGCTACAGTGACAATCAGCAATGCATAACTATAAAATATCCCCAATGAGCTATATTAATAGCTATAGCGTCAACCCCCCTATTATAATAGTAATACAAGGAAAACAATAATGACTTGTGACTGTCCATCATTAGCTGCAGGAAGAAGGGGGCGGACACCTGAGAAAGCAAACAAAGTTACAAATTCAAATCTTGATGAATAGCAGAGATTTCACTAACTAACTAGATCCTTGAAGCCCTGCTGGAGGGTTTAATTAAGTAAACCAGGGATTTTCAGCTTCTCGCCCTTCCCCTGTTATCGTCATCATCCCTTACGGCTTGACTATTGGTCCAGAACATCTAACCTACCAAAGCTAGCTAGGCGCTTTGATAATTAGTTAACTGACCTGCTAAACTAGACCTGGTATGAGGAGATAAGAATAGATCATTAATATTGTCCTTGTCCACAGTTCATAGTTGGGACTGCGGATATAGCATCTCTGGGTAGAATAAACTCAAACAGAATAATTAAAAAGGGTATATGGCCAAGGCAGTACAGTAACTCTAACACGGTGAGGCCAGTCCCCACTTAGAAGATAGGCGAAGGTTAGTAAGAAGGGTAGGCTCGGAGCTCATTTCCTCCCTGGTTTGCCGAAAAAGCCAGTTCTTAAGATGTCCCTTGATGAGATCGTATCTTAGATCGTAAGGCGGTGATCGAACGCTACGGACTACCTCGGTCGGGACTACTCGTTCAAACTGAGAGCGATCGGTTACCGATGTTTGGCTTCCAGGCAACACTGAAGGGAACTGCTCGTATTAGATCAAGTTTGAAAAAAAATAAAAAATAAACATAAACATAAAATACTAATAATGACCGATAAAGAATAAATAGTTCCCGTTCTTCCCAAATAATGGCGGCAGAAGGCGAAGATGATCTCATACCCACCGGTCTTGTCGCTTTTTCGATTGATATTTGATTATAGCCTTTGCGAAGACCGAGAAATAACACATGTGGAAGAAGCTTCGACTAAAGGTGAACCTACTCCGTATAGGAATAGGAAGGGAGAGGCCATGACGGGGCTCTGTGTCCTTCAAGTGTCAAAATGCCGGGCCAACGGTACGGTGGTAAGCTTATTTGGTAGGACCAGAAGCAGATCGGAAATGATAGATCTATTTTCCAGGAAGAGAACGTGGCCTGCGAGTTTCTTGAATGGTAATAATTCCGACCTGAACTGTCGGTCTACTCCGTGGACGAAGTGGGGCCCCCTAAAAAGTGCAATTAAACAAAATGAAGACAAGTTCATTTCGGCAAAAGGGAAAAAGAGAGAATTGATAAATATATTCATTATGGGATTATGAGCTACCACTATCTTAAGTACGATAATTTACTTACACACTAAACCCCCGTTTTTTTTGTTCTTCTTGTTCTTCTTGTTCTTCTTGTTCTTCTTCTTTTTTCTTTTTTCTTTTTTCTTTTTTCTTTTGTTTTTTGTTTTTTGTTTTTTGTTTTTTTTTTTTT